TAATCTGTGAATCGTCGTAATTAAGCGGAGCTTCAACGGAACCACGCGCGATCCTCTGTTCCCCTGGACTTTTACAGGTTTCGTAAAGCCGTCGTCCGAATTCTTAACTGTTACAACTCCATTTTTGAAAAAAAAAAAAAAAATTTCGTTAATCGATCCACGCGTGTCTCATCGGTCGAAAGAATACAAATTCCATCTTAATCGGTCGAAAGAAACAAATATTCTTTTAACTTTTAACTCTGAAAGTTTTTTTTTTCTCTTAATGGTTGTATCTCCAAATATTAAGAACAATAAAAAATTTATGTTGATAATAAGATAAAATTTGGTTAAATTTTGTAATAAATAGCTATTCGGTAGATGATATGGTGTGTTTGATTATTTCACTAGATTCCTGCTTCTATTATTATAGATACGATAGATTTAGTCTACCAAAGTTTAATATTTTAAACTTTGGTAGACTAAAAAATCAGTTTTCGCAGTTTAGAAACTAGTGTAGATGGAGCAATTAAGAACTAGAACGACGAAGCGCCAACTAAGAAATATAAACTCCTGAAAGGCTGTTAAAAGATTAAAAAAAAGAAAGAACAAAAGAATCGTCGAATTGCGACGTAAAAATCTACATAAGGGTCCGCGGTAAAACAATCAGAAGCCTTTTTCTCGTCTTTGTTCCGTTATCGGCGAATAGGATCAATAATCTAAAATCGGTTAAAACTTATCAAACTCTAAAACCAGCGATCCTGGATCGATCCCCGTGCAAATTAATTCCGTTCTCTATTACCTTTCATCGATATGTAAAAACCCGTTTAACCTGACTGATTTTTCGATCGTTAATGCGAGTGCACTTACGGAGAATAAATGATTATAACTAATTATAACTTGCTTTTAACGATGAACCAACAAGTACACGGTAATCCATGTTTTTACAGATGTTACAGCGTGTGATTAAGGGTAAAAATCTTTGGACAAAGCATCAAAAGAGCTGATACGTTCCCGAAAAACGTACGAACAGCACACGACGAGTTAACTCGTCGTACAAAGTTAACAGGTTCACCACTTTGCACTCGGAATTTCCTGATTCCCCGTACATCTTTCTTCCCTTTTTGTCCCCTTCGAAGGGGGCATTCGAGTGCAAAATTCTTGCGAAACAATACGACCTTGAGTTCGAGGATCGATCCCAGTAAAAATTTTCCGTAAAACAGTTCACTTCTTTCAAAGTCATTGGTTCATTTCTCCTATTCGCCATCTCGATTCCCCGAAAGTCCAGAACGGGCGAAAGAAAAACAAAACGTCGCAGCGAGGTACCGTCGAAGTTCGTCACGAAGCTATGTTTCGCTTCAAAATTTTCATCGTCTCTGATACACAACTTCGTTCTCCGCTCCAGTATTATTCTCTTTGAAAGTAAGAATTCCTCCACGAGACGTTTGTGTATATACAGTACAAGGATACACGAATTCGGACACAGATGTTTTACTTTTTGTTTGTTGTCACGCTCTGCTAGATCAGTCTGGGATCGCGAACAACGGATCAGAGACGCTGAAAATCGACATCGCGATAGATTTCTGGGAAGTGAGTGGATAGGTGTGTATACAGTGCTTGCGATTTCCAGTGGATTCGATGATGCTACTAAAAAAGTTCTATGTACACGATGATCGCGCAATGGCATATTTACAAAAATGACGAGAGAAACGCCTCGGCTACGCCGCGAAACGACGACGAGAACCGACTCAGCGTGTTTCGTTCGAAATTACAAAAAAAAAAAAAAAAAAAAAAAAAAAAAAAAAAAAAAAAAAAAAAAAAAAAAAACAGACGAAAGAAACGAACAAAACGAAAAGAAAGTACATGAAGAAGACATCGACGAAGAAAGCTGTGTACCACGTTCTCGTTTGCTTCGTCGCGATTATAACGTTCGCCGTAAAAAAAAAAAAAAAGGACTTACGATCCAGGAAATCGTTGGATCGAGCACGCACGGGTCGTCTCTACGGTCGTAGAGTTAAAGGGATCTCGATAGCAGTCGATCGATCCCGAGATCTCCTTCGATTGAGTTTGTCCATTCGATTCCCGATGGAATCCTTCGTTTATTTAACAAGAAACGGTAATTCTCCTGCCTTTTTGTCCCCTCCCCTCCCTCTCCGTCCTCGATCGATTACGCTAAAAGTGCTTAAACGTTAAAACGTCGTTTACAGGCCTGGATCGCGTTCAGTCCTCGTGAAAAAGAGAACACATCTGTGCGGTGTTTACGGTACACGCGTGTTACAGATTGGTCGTCTGTCCGTTCACGATGAAAAATGAAAATCCTAACGAGCGTCGGACGCGTTCGCTTACTCTTATCTAGGGACCACATACCCACACGCGGGTACATTCCCTCTGTCTCGCAAACTCTACTGGCTACCTAAGTTTTCCTTAAACTAAAATCACACTCAGAACGTAAATTAACGGGCACCCCGTGGCCGGGGGATGCGTCTGAACCTACTAATCGTAAATTATCAGCTAGTGGTAAAAAGGTCGATCGACGGCCCCGATCGAACAATCATCGGCATGATCGTTCCGTCGAGGACGTCGTCGCGCGACGGAAATGTTGGAAACGAAAATCGTATTCGAACGCGAACAACGTCTTGGGAACAGCTGAAGGGGACACGATCGCTGTCTAAAGTCTAGGGGAGGTCTGCATCTGGATTATCGAGAAGCAGATTAGAGATCTCGCACGGAACACCGGTTATACACGCGATATACCCTTGCGAGGGCTGGTAAAAATTAAACTAACGTGTACATCTGTCCACGGAAAGACGGACCGATCCGAATGAGATCCCCCTTTTGGCGGTATGTTGTGCTCGTCTTAGCACCGGCCTTCCCACTAATTGGAGACTCGGTACCGCTACGGATTCGTCGGCAGTGGATTTTTTGTTCGGGGGATGTGATCGTGCGATCTAAGGAATCGTGGATTACCTATATACCGGACAAGACGTCATTGATTGATCGTCGTTTCAACGTGAACCGAAATCGGTTCCGTTCCACAGTTCAAAATCGATGGATCGAAGCTCTAGGTATCGGCCCAAGGGCATTTGGAAACGTCGATTGAATATCGATCCAGGATTTCGCGTGAACCCTCTAATCTTTTGTCAACCTACAGGCTGGAGAACAATGATTTTTATCGCTACACGATCCTTGCCACGACGAATGAACGGACAAACCCGAGAACGTGATGTTCGAAGCTGGGGGTTAGAGGTGTCCCGTGAACGCTCGTGTGGATCATCTTCCTCGGGATCACACGGGAGGTCTTTGGGTGTCTCTTTTATTCGACATCTTGCGATCCAGCTGATCCTAGCTTTCTTCGACGAAGCGGCTGTTCGCAAGGACACGGTGATTACAGAACGCTTACGAACAGTTAAAACGGTATAGGTCGCGGGACACTCCGGTTTGGGGACGAAAATGATCGCCTGGGATCGATCTATCGATCTTCGATCCATTCTCGCGGTTTCTCATGGAACAGTCTCGTATGGACGCTCTAGAACTAAATCTCGAAAAGAGCTTTCTCTCTCTCTCTTTCTTTCGGTATTCTCGCTTCGACAGGTACAAAATAAATCGGACTCGAGCTCGCGCAATCGAGCAGTCCGAACAACATTCTTTAATATCGCGTCTCTTTTCTTCAGGAATATTCGTCGTTCGATGAAAGAAACCCGTCGAGAGACATCCGCGACATCAATTACATTTACCGTAACTCACACATTCGTTCACGTACTGTAAAGTCTCGATAACTGCGCGGAGAGCTCTCTACGCTATCTGCTTCATGCTTCACCCCCGCTTTCATACTGGACGTTCGGCCCGAAATGCAATTCATGAAGTGCTGAAATCGTGCCCCTTTGCGATAACTGTTCCAAAAGGATCCTGTGTGTTCGTGCGTTAATCGAAGATTTACTGTACTTTCGAACATAACAATTAAGTGTAAAAATGTCTCTGCAATATCTATTTACATACTCGCATTATCTATACTTTCCGCGTCCACACATTTTTCCTAATTGTTCAAATAAAATTCGCATTCTTGTACGTGATTTGATCATACAGAAATTACAGCCTTCCGTGAACAAACGTGTCAGTCACTATACACGTGGTTCTATCGACCTAACGTCTCACACATACACACATGCACACAGAGCCACACGCATACGTTGCGTGGTTTCGTTTATACCGTGAAACCGTCCGAAAGTAGACGTACGAACGATTCAGGCTGCCTTTCTATCGCGTATACGATCGATCGATCGATCGATAGATCTCCGTAAGTGTCCACGCGACCGTACAAGTACAAATGAATACAATTACAAGTGCGTGTAAAATCTAGATAGAAGAATGATGACGATGAAACAAACAAACAAGAAAAAAAGACTGGCCCGTCTTTTCGACGCTTTCTTACAGACTATACACGTTCTCCTAGGCAATTAACCCTCGTAACTGATCGCCTGCTTCCATTCTTCCTAATCGGCTACTTTCTCGAATCTTCGTAATTGGCTACTTTGTCGTCCCTCTCTCTTTCTTAATTGGCTTCCTTCCTCTCACGTTTGTATACAGCGGTATCTATAATACATATTTATATATATATATATAAATATATATATATATATATATATATATATATAACATGTATGGATCATCTATATACATATACGTCTATGTATGTATGTATATATATATATATATATCAGCTAGTCGAAAAATTTGAGGCTACAGTGCTCGGCAGTCTATTGTCTCTCTTTGCTCTCTTCTCTCCTGTGGATTCTTCATCGTTCTTTTTCGACACCCCTCTCTCTCATTTTTCCAGTTCCATCTCGTGTCTTGTCTCTTCCTCGTCCGGCCGTTTTCTGTCCTCCTCTTTTTCTCTCTTCTTTTTTTTCTTCCCCCCCCTCCCCCCATATGTATACATTTAATTATATCTCTCTCTCTTTATCCCTCAATCCCTCTGTCTTCTTTTTCTTTACATCCACCCCCCTCTCTCTCTCTTTCTTTCTCTCTCTCTCTCTCTCTCTCTCTCTCTCTCTCTCTCTCACTCTCTCTCTCTTCAGGCATGCAGAAAATCCTTTAAGTTCTCGCTCTTCACATGAAGCGAATATACATATGCGGGTGTCGGCCGTGTTCGCGGATTTCGGACGAGCACTTTTATTCCCATTGGTGAGGAGAGGGTGGCAATTCCGAGGGATGAGCCACCGTGGAGCTGCAAGTCGTACGAAGAGATCATTAGAGGCTGTTTTAATTGTTTTTATTTATTTATTTATTTATTTTCAGAGAAAAAAGTATCTGTCGTGTTTATATTAATGGTTCTGATTGGTTTCTTATTTTTTTTTTTTTTTTGGTTCAGATCTTTTCTCTTTCGATTTTTTTTTTATTTTTCGTCGTCAAACTCGGGAATGGGTTTTCTTTAACGCGACTCGCGGGAATAGAACAAAGGTGTGAGTGTGTTTGCAAGCTACAATACTTCGAGCCTCCCTCACGCGTGCTCTCTCTCTCTCTCTCTCTCTCTCTCTCTCTCTCTCTCTCTCCGCGGGTGAAACCGTCTCCCAAAGCGTTTATCTCGACACTTCGAGTTTTGTAGGCTAACAACAATCAGGGGGCGTAGGAAGCGAGGGCATAGTGTGGCCATCGTCAACGAGTGGCGGCGGTGCGTCTCGAGGATGTGGAATACAGTCGAGATGAAAATCGGAGAAAATCGCAAAAATTGAGGCTAGTACTGAAAATTGTAGCTGCAGTGCACCAAATATCATCAGAGCACTGTCTAATGCTTGCATTGAAAGAGCATTAATTCAATTTAATTTAATAACAATTTAAATAATTTAAACATGAATATAAGTAAGTGAAAAAACAAAAACATATCTTGTTTCTTTTCCTGCGATTTTCTCCAAAATAGAGGAAAAACGAGCAGAAATTTTGACACTTAAATCGGGGACACTCTGTATATACCGAAGAACTACTACACGGGGTTGGCGGAATTATTGGCAAAGATCGACTGTCGCGTGATGTGTCGATCGCGAGCACTTTCGTTCACCGGAGTCCAATACGGGGATTTAACACTAAAACTACCAAATCCGTCAAAACGACGGAGTTCAGATTTCTTGTTTCACAATTACTGATATTATAAAGACGGTAATCAGGTCAACCTTTATTATATATTTTACATTACACTATATTGTGCAATACTGTATTATATATTATAGATATTAATATATTATACAATATAATTTAGTGTGCATTGAACGCTGGTAGTTCTAGTGTTAAAGGACTGCTCAAGGTCAGTGGGAAGAGCTTCTTCACCCACCACTGTGCATGGCCACGCCCCACTGATCCACACTCCACCCCGTTCTGTTCTTCGAGACCGAGAGAGAGAGAGAGAGGTGGAGTGATGTTTTGGTAACTGGTAAAAATTCGAACGAACAAACCGCGAGTCGCTATTCAACTATTGCTACTATACCTCATCCAACGACTCGGGTCAGTGTAACTACGAAAAAAGGGATAACTGGACTGCGGATATTTATACATTTATAACAAATTTTAATACACAAAATGTAATAGAATAAAGACTTCGATGAAACTCAATAACATTTATACAGATTCATCTCGATTATCGTCTGGCTTGTTCTACACGATTATTGTCCAGGCGTTATCCCCACCACTGGGAGAGTGGGGGAGACCGTAGAATCTGTCAAGTGTATACTTTGTTGCCGAGGCTCGAGCAAAAAACAAATTTCCGAGGGTCTGAAGCATTTCTCCCTATGAGATTATTGTCCCGGCGTGGAACCGAGTTCGTGACAATAATCGAGAGGAGTCTGTACTTTATTATCAATATAAGATGTCTGGCGCAGAAAATATATTTCTATCTCATACTTATATATAAATTAGTGCCTAAAATTGTGATTTTACATAAACATCCGCAGCCCAGTAACGACCATTTAGGTGGGATAGGAACAATTTCCAGCCAATTATTATCTACTAACTCGACTCGTTGGACAGACCACAGTGTTTCCATTCCACAGACGATACGATATCTCGATTCTCGAGGGAGGAAACGCTCTGCGTGTCTCCTGACGATCGATTCGAAGAGTCGCGCGATCATTTCCCAATCACTTGCTCTCTCTTCGTGGATATCGTGTGACGAACGAACAGTCTTGGTCCTATACAGCCTGAATCTCGTCACCATCGACAGGCTTCGATCATATTCTTTTCAATTCGATTACCAGATAATCGTTTCCATGTTCACTATCCCACAGGACCAAGTCAGTTTCCTTCTTCCCACAGGACGAACAAACAATTTCATCCGTGTACAAGATCTCGCGGGAGCCTCGACTCTTCAAATGTCTACGGAACAGGGTCGACGCGACAGGTCTGGTAGCTTAACACGAAACAACAAAACAACAAAATTGAAGAAAAACAAACAGACAAACAAACAAACGCCTCGTCTGATTTCCCATGCAGCTGTCAGAGCATGGGTGACAAAAGGCCGCTCGGCTCTCGATTATCAATTCAGTGGACACACACACAGTTTTCTCTTCGGTCCTCGATCGTTATACACACTATTCGAGAGGTCTTTAACCAATGACGTTCGTCTCTCTCTCTAGTATTCTCTGCTGTCCCTCGCCTGTCTGTCTCCGTTTCATTTTTATCCTCGCAAATTTTCTCTCGATGTTTGTATTTCCTGCGCGTGGTCAGATTCTCACGGCCCATATTATGGGCCTCATCCCCTTTGCCTTGCCAAGTTCGTAGGAAAAATCAAGCGTGGAAAATTACAGTGGGTGATCAAATTATTATGAACAGATGGAGAAATTACATATTTTATGTTTCTGGTGTTATTATGACTTTAATAATAATGAGGTACAGTGATGTCTCGATAAGTGCGGCGGTCGCGGCGGAAAGGTTTGCAGCCCCTATAAGGACGACACGAATAAAATCATAAAACCACATTTTTCTCGGATGTCTGAATATGTTAGTTACGACAATTAATCTAACGAGGGCAGTATAGGCTACAAATGCATAAAATCCAGAGTCTAATAATACCAAAAACACTGGGCATAAAATGCCACGAATTTTCCCGTGCGACGTAATATATATTTATCGCGAAGGGGTGGTTCACCACCGTTAAAAATCGTGAAGCTGGCCAACGCTGGGAACTCCGCGCCCACTTACAGCAAATCTCAACGAGTCCCTTTCGAAAACGAGCAAACTTTCCGTGGGGAAATGCTGAATTTCCGGGTCACCGAAGTTCACCTCGCATGCGCGCGCGCGCGCGCTTGGCAAAGCAAATCCTACGATCGCGAGCATTCGCCCCGTACTTGGCGAAATGACAGTAATGATTTCACGGATATTTTTCTTCTTTTTTTTTTTTTGGATCCCTCGTTCGACAAACATTCTTATCAAAGCCCACGTAATATCGTCTACCATTGTACCGTACAACCTTTGCGAAGGAAAAAAGAATTGAAGAGGAAAAAAAAACAGGAGACAGATGGCGTATAGAAAACAAAAAAAGAATGAAAAACACTCTTAGTGTTTCAGTGGGAGGGAGTGGGGCGGTGAATCCGATTGAAAAGGATAATCGAACCGATCCTGGCTGGTCGCTACGGAAAACAAAAGAAGAATAAAAGATCGCTGTATCCTGCGTTTTCCAACCAGGTTGCGATCTCGTCGATACTCGAAAGAAAAAAATGGAATAAGAAAAATTCATCGAACCGAAAGGGGAAAAGAAAACGAGATATATTAAATGGAAACGAACGATTTTTCCGGAAATCGTGAAACGATTGAGAACCTTCCACGCAAGATTATCGATCATTGTACCAACCGGATCCCCGTCAGATCACGTCTAAATCGAAAATTATTTATTTCAAGAGAAAGAGAAATAGAAAATTGCACAATTCCGGACGACGACAACGGGGGTATTATGGTTTAGTGATCTTTCGTATCCGTCTGTTAAACGTGAAATTTCGAAGTTGACATTCGAGATGAGTTCGGGGATATGTTTCTAACCCAGGTATACCCTTATAATGAAACTCGGCTTCCGTTAGGGGAAAATAGTAACGCAGGGGAAAGGCCTCCTATCCACTTGAAAATGTTAAAGTGACACTTGTCAAGTGTTTTTAAGTGTTATTTATTGAAATTTATGTTAAAGTGACACTTGTCAACGTTTTTAATTGTTATTTATAAACAGTAAGTTTAACACTTATTACGGTAGGTTAAAACAAAATTACCAAGTGGTAGTAGGCCCTTACTCTTACGTCACGTTTCCCCCTAGCTTTGCCTCTCTCCGCGTGTTTTTTCGGCCCATTTTCGCATCGATTATTTTCAATTGATTGCGTTTATTGTATCTCGTTCTCGTGGTTTTCAACCGAATCCGCGCGTTCTCTCATCAACTGAAGACTGCATGGTTGATCAGAGCCTTCCAGGTTTACACTCGTGTCGACCAAAGCGTTCTCTCTCTCTCTCTCAGGTGTGTTCTCTTTCGGGGTTATTATAAAACTACCACTTTCACTCGAATAAGTCAGGGTGCGCCAGCGACGGGCCGTTTAAATGCTGTTCTAATGTAACTTTGTACTATGTGTACACCTAGAGGTCATATGAAGGTCAACTTCGTTTTTTAAATGGAATCGTGTATTTTTTAATCCACCATAAGTGATTTAGTACTGTATGTACGGAATAACGAGTACCATCGAGTAGTACAGTAATAAATATACAATTCCATTACACAAAAACAAAGCTGACCTTCATATGACCTTTACGCGTCCACACAGAAAATTGTTGCTCACAACAGAAAGTGTGTCCCCTGATAGCATTTATCTTTTGTCTTAAACATTTCTTAGTTTCAGAGATATTCGAGTGGGACCATTTAAATGGAACACCCTGTATATACAATTACTAAAATAAAAAAATGAGAGCAAGGCAATGTTCAAAAGGAAAACCAGAAAGGTTGGTGTCCAACTAAAACAACAATATAAAACAACACAAAAAGAAAATTGTTGGTTAAAATGGTTTGTTGACAAGTACCTCTGCGAGCGAGGTCACGCCGACTAGAGCTGGACTCTCTCACTCTCTCTCTCTCTCTCTCTTTCTCTCTTTCTGTTTCGTTCGGTTTCGTTCAGGAAGAGACCGTAACACGATTGGTAGTAGAAGTAGTAGTAGTAGCAGTAGTGGTAGTAGTAGTAGTGGTAGACGATAGCGGTAGTAGTCGATAGTAGCTGACAGTAGTGGTAGATAGCTGATTCGGTACTGGTAGTGGTAAAGTGTACGTATACGCGGCGCAGGGCGCTGGGTCGGTGACGATCGGCTTGCTCTAACTTGACGGCAATAAGCAACACGAGAACATGTTACATATAACTTCAATGATTATATATATATATATATATATATATATATATATATATATATATATATATATATATATATATATATATATATATATAAAATATATAAAGACTACTAATCGAGTCCTTTTATTTATTTTTCTTTTCTTTTTTTCTTTTTTTCGTTCGCCTCTCAGCATTGTTCACACCGGGGGGCTCTCGGGGAATCGAGATCAGTTCTCTTTCTTTCGGATTCTCGCATTTCGAGCTGATCTCGTTAAATTCGTTTCACCGTGTAGATCGACACATTTATCCCTTCCTTCGTTTCCTCTCTTTCTGGGTATTTTCACGTGACTCGAGACGATCGGCCGGATCATCGTCCTCTCGGGGGCACCTTCTCTAGCGGAGACAGATGGTAGGTTTTTGTTTTCTCTCGTTCTTGCTCTCTCATGCTCGTTTCTTTTCGTTTCGTTTCTTTTCGACAAATCAAAGCGGAAAGTGGAGGAACTCGGTGACCGAGAAATATGTCAGTATGTGTGTGTATGTGTGTGTCTTTGTCTGTCCGAGGCCACGATACCATACTGAACTAGAATACATATATCTCGATTGTCAAAAAAAAAAAAAAAAAAAAAAAAAAAAAAATTAAAAAAAGGGTTTTTCCATTCTCACAATGGACACACAATCGTGTGGTAATCGGACAATTTCGTTCCTCCACCGTCTATCCCAGATTCATCCAATAAAAATCTGCCATCGCTCCCCCGGAATAATGATCAGCAGATGGGGGGGGGAGGGTGGATGGGGGAGGGGGAAGGAATGGTGGTGGTGAAGTCGCTCGATCGTTGATGATGCTCGATCGTTCCATCGATCTACAGACACAGATCACGGAACATACTCGCATATAAGGCACGCGGCACGGAGACGCGGTTCAATTCTTAATCCGTTTCCCACGGAACGTGATCCGGAAGTATCCGAGGAGAAGACGGATGGTCGAGGGGCGGTGGTGGTTCGGTACTCGAGCCAAACCTACGTAGAGGATGTTACCGAGAAGAGAAGAAGGGTCGTCGTCGGGACAAAAGATCGCTTCTTCTTACTGGTTTCGATCAATTCCACCCCTCTCGACCCTCCATCCTTCTCTCTCATCCACCAATCCCATACTCCTCCACCTCCCACTCGTTCTCCATGGTTTTTAATTTCCGTCCCACGACACGCTCAGCCGTTCCACTCTCTCTCTCTCTCTCTCTCTCTCTCTCTCTCTCTCTCTCTCTCACCCTATTTACGTTTTTCTACCGTCTTTTTAATCCGATTCGTTCTTACTCTGCTTCTGTCCTGTGATCTCTGACTTCGACGAATACAAAAATCGAAACCGAAAAGAAGAAAATAGAGAGAGAGAGAGAGAAACATAGTGTGCGCTGCTATATCTTTTTTTAGCTTCCTCTTTCTCTGGGGTGGAACGCAACCGGAACGATGTCCTTTTTTTTTTTCGTCGGTTCCTCCCCTCTGTGGATCCCTTCGGATTTATACTCTCGCGGGATCGGTCAGGGGTGTCGTGTTCCGGGGGTAGTTGGAGGTGGAGGGTAAACGGGGGAATAGGAGGGGACGAAAGAGAATGGAGGATCCGTGAAGGGAGGCTTCGATTCCCGCGGACCCGATTTTTAAAAAATTCTGTCCCTCAATAACGGTTTCGAACCGCCTATTTCTCACTCACTCTCTATCTCTCGATCTTTCTTTCTCTCGCTCTCTATTCCTCTCCCTCTCTCCCCCTATATCCTAGGCTGACGTTTATTTTGCTACGGTAATCATCATCGATCGTTTTCATTTTAAAACCTGGACGATCCGCCACCTACGGCTTACCTTGCGAAGCTCTTGAACGCCGCGGACTGCGGATTTATGCAGAGCGGGACGCGCGACGTGTTCAGCTGTTCCGCTATAAATTTGTGCATTTCCTCTGAAACAGACAACCAAATGGGTATCAGTTGGTGGAGTCGAAGGGAACGGGCCACTTCTTATTTTTTGCACGCGGGATGTGTGTGTCGTCACTCTAGTTTTGGGGAACTTAATCCTTTGCTTTATAACATCGGGTCAAACTCGTGGTGGACATATTATTCGTTTTCTTTAAGTCAAAGTGAAATACTAAATTGCTGATATTAATATTTAACTTTTAGAGTAAATGTACAATTGCGATAAGTAAACGAATTTCTTTAGTTTGTGGGGAATTATTGATGGTAAAGTAATTCTGGAGACTGTGGACATCAAGAATATCATAGGGCAAGGGGTTAGGGTAGCTTTTGCGTTTGGTGTCGTATCTAGCTGTGGTTCCATATGGCACATTATAGTTTTTGTCAATTTGACCAATTTAATTTGAATGATTAGTCTGTTAAATTACTTCAAAATACTGAAACAGAAAAACTTGTTTTCTTCATTGTATAAAAATGGATTTTTTTCTACCCTCATCCGTCCCTTCGAAAGTTGAAGCTTTTCAAAATGTTCCGTTAATAATTATTAAATTACGGGAGCCACCTCAACCGAGAGATTTACCTAATCGCGCGTAATTGACCGTAAGAAATCGTATACAAAGTATCAGATTTATTAATTTTTGTTCTCATATTTTTTTCTTCTATAATTTTATATATACTTCCGTAGTTTATTAATTGATCGTCCGAAGACTAAATATCACATAGTACATAAAAGAAGAAATAGATTCTCAACGAAGGCTGTATTTTAACGATAAAAATTTATTTATATAATAAACGGTTAATTTAACACGGTTTAATTTAACGTATACGCGAAATTTTCTGTAACACACCTTAATATTTCCTCGAGAACTCCATGCCAGAGATTTTTTACGCGAAGAGCGTGGTGGACGATTCAAGTTCCACCCCTTAGCAACCCTGAAGCAACGAACACACACACACGTGGCTCGGTGCAATTTTTTAACCGCGATATTAGACCCAGTTTCGAGGCGATTACGAGGAGGAAAGCTCGTATATACGATAACTTTACGGTCCCCAAGCCAGGCTGGTGATAAACTATGATTTATCGGAGCTGTTCTAAGCACACGCGAAGTAGTCTATCGCATCACTGTTCTCCGACAGCGGTTAGGCCACGGTGCCCAGAGACGTTCAACTATTAATAACGCACATAAAGTCCCTTGGACATATTTTCTTTGTTTTTTTTTTTCGTTCCTTCCTGCGACTAATCTGTCAGCTGGAAAACGGCCCTTGTTTCGCTAATAATTGTAACAAGCAAAGAGATTCCATCCAGAAACGTGATAATCTTTGTATCATTAATTTCTGTAATATTACAATCACCGACTATGCATGAAAATAACTTCTTCTGTCAAACGGGAATATATTAGGTACCGGCAAAATATTCGTGACGGGTTTTCTGTTAATTTCACGTGATTTCTGGTAATTATGTTACGTTAAAAAAATTGCTGTAACTTTTTCATGAATTCATATTTTTCAACTAAATTTTTCGGAAAGTCTGACATTACTTTTTTTCATCGTATTTTACACTTTTCGACAGCCAGTTATCAGTAGTTCTCAACTGTTTTTATTTCGAAATGAACAGTGCTACATCTGTGGACTTCTCTCTGTCCTTGCCGAGGGGTCTTAGAACACTTATCAAGGATTTACTGTATTCAGGCTCTGCTGCCACCTACTCAATAATAATCACAGTATTGGTAAAAATGAAACCACAGGTAACCCATTCGGAATTGACAATGCACGGTCCTGAAGATGTTCGATCGTCTGAAAATACAGTTTCGACTACCGAAACGGGGGTACCATCTTTACAACTCAATGGTTTTCACGAGGACACAATATCGCTGTCCCTCGACTTCGAGGATCTCTATTCCCAAGATCCTCCAAAGAGGTCAGGTTAAACAATGGTCCCGAGAGGAAGGAAGTGTATCCAGGTGTCGAGGGGTCCGAACGATACAGCGTGAAAGAAAAGTCAAAGCAATTACCCGCACGCGAAACGCGTGTGATGGTGATGGTATCCGGTGGAATTTTGCGAAGAATAGGGTAAATGTCCCAATTACTGCCACCTTAAGATTGTAATGTGACTTTTTTTTTTTTGTTAAAAAAAATAGTTTTATGCATTAAATATGAAGAATTAATTGATCATTAATTAAAATCTGCGAGCAATCCCAGTGTTCTTATAACTGTCACCTCAAACATTAAAGTAATTCTTATATACTTTAACAATTCCTCTTGTACAATAGATATAGGTTAAATAGTAAAATAACAACTCCTTCTTTAGTATGATTTTCCCATCACTTCCTATTTACGTAGTCGCGTTTCTTACGGTCAAGTTGCACTTTCATTTTGCAACATCAATTTTTTTAAATCAGGTACACACAAGTATATGTATTTCTTTGTTTTTATGTAAATCGGAGTCCCTAATTAATAACAACATTTTGTATACACAATTTTTTATGTTATATTTTTATTAAGTAAGATAGATAATGTGACAGTATTCGGAACACTGGCAGCAGAGATGGGCAAACTCGTTAGATAGCGTTCCGAATAACGAATGAAAGATAATAAAAATATTTCGTTATTTATAATTGCTTAAACTTGGAAATTTCAATTTTTGTAATAAAATAATACTTCTTTATGAATGAGTCGATATTTGTCGAACAATTATTTAATCTCATTAACTGAGACAATGGACAATATAATTGCATAAAACGCATAATTATGAATGTTAATAAATTCTGTTCTCTTTTAGGCATAGATTATACAACACATTGTTACCTACAATTGACTGATTATAACTGGATTGTATACTAAAGGGTTATATACCCGTGTATCAATAAATAAATAAATAAATAAATAAATAAATAAATAAATAAACTGTTTAAAGCTCAGGCCGACGCCCTTAGATACTGTTACGTTTCACCGTGTATTATTCGAATAAAATTCTGCGCAACTCTGAATGGCAGTAATTGGGACGTTTACCCTAGTTAGAAGAGAGATCGATGCGGTTCGAGGGTCCTCTTACCTTTCACCTGCTGCACGGTGGTCAGTTTCCGCTCCCAGAGATCGTCGAACGGATGCGACGTGGCCGGCTCGAACTCCACCGTGTACTGTCTCATCCCGGCGCTGGTCGTGTAACAGCACGTACACATGCACGAGTGATATCTGAGCCTTCCTTCGTCCAGGTAAGGATGCGCCAATGCGTCCACCACGGTGATCCTCTTGTCCTGCGGGAGCGGACGGGAAGGATAGAAACAAACAAAAAAAAAAAAACAGTTCCGTGTCGAACCTTGTCAACGAACGATCAACAGGCCCAAAATGGGCGGTGACTTGTTTACGAGTGATGGGGTTGACCGTGTTCTATTTTCCACGAAAGATAGAAAGGGGTGGGGGATAAAAAATATATACGATTATACACCTAGTCTTATAAAACTGAACATGAAAACTCTGGCTGCACGTAGAATTGTAACTGATATGTCTTTCCTTTTTAACTCTAGAACTACCGATGATGAACGCATGTCTAATTTCATGGATCGATAAACATGATAAACTTTTGAAAATTTACAAATTTATAAATTGATTAATTTCTTCACTTTCATGGCCCGATGAATTATCGATTAATAAATTAATAGTCGTTATGGATTCGTGCGTTTTTTTGGGGACATGAACATGTTCCCCTATAGCACATGACGCCTAATGACGTCTTAAAGACAGCTTAAAGGCGCCTCAGACCTAAAATAGCTGTAAAATGGCCGTCTTCAAGGCGTTACGTGCTATCTGGGTTATGACGGTCACATGTTTTATGCAGATGGACTTCGGTACTAGTTGACTTGACCATGCGATACTTATGTGTGAAGCTTCGAATGGAACACCCTGCATATATCGTGTCTAACAAAAAAATTCAACCGATTCGAACAATGCAGCTCGTCTCCACTTAAAAAATGACGATGATACACGTCGACTTGATCGCAAAATGGCGTCAACAAGCGACTCTACGGTACTATAAAAGAAGCGGCGATTCGAATAAAAAAAAAAAAGAATAAAACCACTGATATTTATTACGCCTAACAGCCGTGAATTTATTTTGAATTTTATTTCAAATCTTGAAAGGTTATATGCACACCCGAGGAAGCTTGAAACGTTGGTCCGTTTAGCATTCGTCCCGACAAACGACCGTCGTCTGTCGTGGACCGTTTAAATATTGAAACGGCCGATTTAAGTAGGAGATTTCGGAAAATAGGTTGTAAAACCTCGTGGTGTCGTTTCTCGGATTTAATAAGCATTTAATAACCCACAAAGATACGGCGATATCGTGTGTACGGCCACTGCCTAATAACGGTGACTTCCGCGCGGTCGTTTCTGCATTCATTTCGGGGCGTGATTCTGATAAATGGAACGTAATATTCGTGCTGAATCGCGAAACACGAAACCGTCGACTTCCCTCTTCGGTTTCCTGCGAGTCTGTTTTTTTCTTCATTTTTTTTTGCGTTTGGATCCAACGGTACAGGGCCGAGGGCAGTAAAGATTTTATTGCAACTTTCGTTATGAATACCGCTGTCTACGAGGGACCTTATACGATGTTACTGCCACTCTTGTTCCCAGGGGGGGGGGGGATTTTTTTACGAAGTGACGACTATGCTGGTCGACGAAATGCTCGCGTGCAGACACCGATCATCTGTGTGGCGTCCCATAAAGGATCGTGTCAGAAACGTCGAGTTCAGATATGGAACACGATTTTGATATCTTCGTAGGGTTAGTCCAACGAATTCAATTCTGACTTTATTAACGGTATTATGGCGGTCTGTCGAGAAACTAACCGAACTTTTTGAAAAATAGAAAAAATGTAGCATTGGCATCTACACGGAAATGTCGAGAAATATTTAGTTGATAGATTTTCACACTTTTCCGAAACTCTTAGTTTTCCCTTCCTAGAATATACCAAGTGTTGTTTTAGACAGGAATATACAAAATTGTTAAAGGAAATTTAGAAATTGGTACCCCTGTAACCGGTTGCCTACACAAGGGTTAAAGCGGAAACCGACGTTCATTGTACACCGCGAGGGTCGAAGAGGTTCGTCCTCTCCCTCTGTTCGAGAGGGATGAGGGGGGTTGGTGGAAACTTACGGGATCGAAGACTAGCATTTGGCAGAGCAAATGGACGGCCTCGTGCGTCGCCTGGCTGCTGAGGGTGTAGAGGGCCGTCAGCGAGGGTGGCTTCGGTGCGCGCCTCAGCATGTGGGATCTCGCACCCTCGCACGCGTACCTCATGTCCTCGAGGGTTGGTGTGCCCAGCAATTCCGTGATCAGCTCCAGCTGCAACCGAGAACAGAACACGTTATCCTCGACGTTATTTAACGGTCGTCACACTTTTGGCTTTTTTGTTTTCTTTGCTCTTTTTCGGCCCTCGACGGGATCGTTGCACAGTCTTCGTCCGACGACTGTTCGAATAACAGAGTTTTACGACTTCGCTTTGAAATCGTGAAACTCAACCATTCCACCCCCTCTGCACTTGTCCACCTGTGCTTGATAACCTGCTCCTGACTTTTCCACGGACTTTATCCGGATATTTTTACTACTTTTTGTATTACTTCGATTCTTTTTGTTCTCGTGAAACTGGAAAGCTGCAAGGGGGTGAATGGCCGATGCTCGATTGGCGGATCGAGAGCAAAGGGTTCCACCAGGGATTGAATAAACAGTTTTTAAAAAAATTCTGTTCGAACCTATATGTTTCGTTTAAGAAAATATCTGTTCCTGTAGAATTTTCGAGGAAAGAAATGTTACCCTTAGGAATTTCCTCAGTGTTCTGATGGAACGGGTATTTTAGAATCTGTACAATAGAAGTTACATAGAAAGAAGTTACTTTAGAATGTTTATTAAAGAAAGGTTCTATATGATAAATAAAAGTACCGAACTATTAGGTAGTTTTATTTAACAATATATTATTCATATGTGTATTTAAGGTATGAAGATCGTAACGTAATTAATTGTTTCATAAGTATCGAATAGAAATCTCATTTAAGGGGTGGATTGAATTAAGGGCGATGTTAATGATTTAGCAGGACAATGGCTAACCTGTTGCACAGGACTCTGCGCCTGGAAGAGTATCCGCCGACGAAGGAGCTCCCCGAAAATGCAACCGACACTCCATACGTCCACGGCTGCGGTGTAGTGTCGCGCTCCCATCAGGATTTCCGGTGCACGATAATACTGCGTCACCACTTCCTGGGTCATGTGTTTGTTCTGGTCTGGCTCCTCCACACGGGCCAGACCGAAGTCGCAGATCTGGTTCACGCGGAGAATATTTTCAAGTCGTGTACGAATATGGAATGAAACAATATACATCGATACTCATTGTACAAGATCATAATTAATTAAACAAAAAAAAAAACGAAATTCTCCGAAACTTTACTTATTTTTAGACTAGTATAAGGGTGATGTGCAACCCCTTGAATAGATACAGGACACGAAAAGGCTGTGTCACCTCAATTTCACCGAATTATCTACCAAAATGCAAATTTTATTTGTGAATTAAGAAAAATTGATTACAGAAAGGACGATAAAAAGGTATAAGAACATATATAGATAGAAATTGGATGAAATGTTTTGACATCTAATTGGTATTTCAGAAGTTTGCGAACGAGGATCGTATGAGTCACTATATTTCGAAATTTACACGAAAGAAAGAACGATCAGATGCTATCCGTAAAAAAGGTACATATTTCTGAAGTATAAATAAGACTGAATGTAGTTATCACGTTCTTTTCACCCTTTCGTTCCCAAATGATTGAAAATAAAAAACGTAAGAAACATATCGGTGCTATGACAACAGCCTTATTCGACGTAACCCATCGATGGAATTACTTAGATTAATTTAGAAAATGTTAAAACACGACTTTGTACCGGTACGCAACAGAACCAACTTCAGAGTGTCCCAGAGAGCTCACCTTAAGTACGCAATTGCTGTTCACCAGTAAATTCCCCGGCTTGATGTCCCTGTGCAGGATCCTGGCCGAGTGAAGGTACTTCAACCCTGGAAAACAGAAACAAGAACACTCTCGTGAATCATTCGACAAACCACTACGACCATATTCAAATTTCCACGTTCCAAGACGATCGAACTACATCCAAAAAACCATCAGGGATGGAGAAAAATCATAACCCACGGGATTAAACGTCAGAATATCACCCAGAATCAAATTTCTTCAGTGGAAAACGTGGATTTCAATAAAATATTGCCATCGTTAACGGGCTGTTTTTTTTTTTTTTGGTAAGGGAGAGATTACCACGATTATCCATTCGAGAAATTATGTACATCGTTCAGATTGACGGTAATTTTCGAACGATCGAGCCCAGCAGTTTCCCCATCGCTGTTGGATCGATTTTAATTTATCAATCGAACACGCTTCTGGTGGAACGCGACACTTGTAAGGTTTCGAGGGACTTCGGTGTATTCCGTGGAGACTATTAACGTTTTATTAAAGGGACATTAAACCGCGAGTCGACCGTCATCGACGACAAATTGCATCGAATCGCGAACGTTCCTCGACGATGGTTAATAATAAGGCCGTACGCTCGCGCGCGCTCCGAAACCTGTTTTAAATGAAACTTCGGACGAGCGGGGAACCTGTATTTGGAAAAAAAAAAAAGGAAGAGGAAGAGACGGTCGAGATATTCTTGTTGGAAATGTCGTGCTTTCTATTCAATTTGCGTGAAGAAGAATAATTCGAACGGAATAGTAATTTTCTACTATCTGGATGATAATCGAAACATTAATTGATTTTTTGCAAGAATTTGTGGTAGAATTATGTAAGGAATACTACCAGAGTCATCTATAACCCAATATTTTCTTCGTTTGTAAATAACAAAATTGTACAATGTGAAACCAGCAGATGTTAATCTTCGAATATAAACCAACGATTAGCTGATGGCTTTTAATTATTTTTTTATTCTTATTAAGTCTACTTTTACGGAAGTTATACAAATGTTGTTATAAGTGTATTGTGAAATCGTATACAGAGGTCGTATACTATTGTGAATTGTAAATTTGCCTACGATTGTTTCGATGAGAAATTGTTAAATTGTATTCTATTCCTAACTTAATCTTGTAAAAAAAAAATAATGAAAAATAAATAACAGTGGAATAATAAATTTCGAAGCAATGCTGAAACTTTAAAAAGAAACGCGGGAAAACTGCAAAATCGATAAAGTGGTGCCACCTGACGGCAACTTCCAGAACTAGATTGAAAAGTTTCAGGTTTAATTCAATTGTTCGTTACCAGGTGGCTGCCACAATTTTAAACGTTTATCGATTTCGCGGTTTTCCCGCACTTTCTCAGATTCAAATTTCGCGTGAATAGTTATAGTGATAGATAGAAAATGTACTATTCACAATAGTTTTTGCATACATTTACCACTTCTATACTACTTATATATACATTATTACAACATTTGTATAAATTCAGCAAAAATAGGCTTAAATATTGTTCAGACATCGAAAAAAGTGTATTTCATGCATCTGAAAATAATTCTGTCTTCCGTAGCTTGGCAATTTTCCGTTTGATCTTCAAAGCTTCATAAAGTTCTAGGAAGTCTATAGTCGAAATTTCTACTTCTTGCGGCATACGACGGAATGTGTGTAATAAATTCCAATATTCCTCTGTCAGATTCAATCAGTCTGTGGGCGGCGGCCATTTTTGTCGCCACAATTCTCGCGTCACCTCCGTTTTTAATCTTGCGAATCCGACACAAGTCCGTATTTAAACATTCTTAGACGACGATTCCAAACCGTGGACAGTACGTGTGAAGAAAAACTGTAATTAACGGATCGTCGAACGACGGATAATCCGAAACGAAATATCTCAGTGAAACGGAACACGTGTGTGTCTGTGTACGTGTCCATTCAGGAGGGGATTATACACGAGCGTTTAGCGACAGCAACGCTCGAACCAACCCCCTTTTGCGAAACTGAATTGCACTTCGTACGCGAGGGGTGGCCCCGGTAATCTGGCTCTATTCAGCGTTCGTGCGCCCCCGAAAACCCATCCTCCCTCACCACTTGGACCCGTATCACTTCGCGTGACGATTCTCCGAAGGAGATACACGCCGCAAGTAAGGGTGAACACAGCTGGATGTCGAAATTAAAACCATAGAAAACAACGGGAATACTTTTATAAAATCTTTTCTGTATGCAAATCACTTGGGACGTAAGGGTTTATACCCTTAATGGTCATGGTTACAGGGGGTGAATCTACAACCTTCGATCGGTGAACATTTGCCAACAGGAGAATATTTACTGCAAAATTGTTTAAAACTATAAATTATAAACTAGTATAATTAACTGAAATAGAAAAATTTAGCATTAAACTTCAATGTTACAAATTATTTTTGCAGTGAGATCTGTTTTACTAACGTCCATCGATCCAAGGGTGTAGATTCACCCCCTCCCACTTCAATCACTGGAGCAGTGATCCTTCATTTTCCTACACCCTGTGCAACTTGATTCGTTCAATTATGCCTATTAAATGCATACAATCCTCTGCTTAGCCGATGAACTGTATTGTTATTCAGGATATATTCTGTTTTTCGTTCCTGTATAATTCAATTAAACTATATTGAAACATCGACAGAAAATAAAAATAAAAACGAACGAACTATTACACCTCATGCGAGCGACGGTGACCCTGTTCTGCTTTACAATAATAATAATAATGACAATAATAATAATAAAGAAGAAAAAAATAGGAAAATACACACCACTAACCATAGAAATAAAAGAGTTCTGGAAACAAAACAAAATTAAAATAGTACCATTAATCACATCTACAACAGACATAATTCCACGATCATTCACAGAAAACTTACAGAAAATAAACATACATCCATCCATGCACACAAACATCTAGAAAGCAGTTACACTACTGCAAGGTGGTCAAGAAATTCATGAATCCACTAACATAAAAACGGTGAACCTCTATTTCACTTGGTTTTAATCCGTAAAATATAGAGAAAACTCAGTGGAAAGCGCTGAAGAGAAAACTAAAGGACGACAATGATAATAATAATCACAATAATAAAAGCATAGAAAGCCAGAGATCCACCAGAAGAGCAACAGACAATCACCGGAAGGGAGATTGTCCGTTCGAACCGTCGGTTTCACGCGTGACACCGCGACGGCACGTCAACGATCCGTCCCCGCGAAAAACGGGCGAGCTTTTTAATACACCTCTTCTGTCTTTTTTGCCGCGTGGCGGTTCATGAGCGACGACCAGCGGTGGTAAATAGAAGGGGGAGAAGAATACAAAAGACTGGGAGACACGGGACGGTCTGACCGATAAGGGAGGAAAGAACAGGGAGGGGATGTGGGTAGGTAAAGGGTGAAGGAACGAGGGGTTAGAGAAAGGGTAAGGGAACGAACGAAGATGAAAGAGGAGCAGGAGGAGCGGCTGTAAAACACATAGGCTTCAGCGTTGCGACAAGAGAGAAAACAGATGTCGAGAGGCAACACGAAGAGGGAAGCAACAGGGTTGGAGGGTGAAACGAACGGTTCTCGGGGAAGAAACGAGGGTGACGAAGAAGGGAGGACTCTAGACGGGTGGGGAATAGGGATGATTCGCGGGAAGAGAAATAGGAATGACAGGGGAAAAGAGAGAGAGGGAGGGGGTGGAGCCTGGCTGCAATAAGAGCAGAAACATCGGTGCCAGATGAGTGTGCATGCCCGTGAGTCATGCTGTATTCAGACCTCGACTTTTCTCTCCCCGCAATAAAACTCGGTAATATTACCCGGGGTAATCTGCCCCGTGGGTGCGTCCGGTTGCGAATTCACCCGCCGGTAATTAAGGGGACTTTCTCATTCGAAATTGAAAAAAAAAAAAAAGACACTTTTTTAATATTTCTTTATAAAAAAACTATTATATTTAGAAACATAATTCCTTTTGGACGCTATTATATATGTTATTAAGAGCATAAAGAAATTTTTTCTAGCACTTTTAGTTCACCACGACCGCTGTAGAGGGCGTCTTCCAAAAGGCACGTTTTAATCGGTGAGACACTTTGCAGACGTCCTGTAAAAAATTAAGTAAAAATTCAAACCGGGATTCTATTCGTGAGACTTAAAACTAGACAAGAAACCTCTAAAAGTTCATAAAACTACCCCCCCCCTTTTTTATACAGGGGTGAATTGCCCCCAAAAAAGAGTGATTTTTCGAATTTTTCGGAAAAATATGTATAAAACGATAAAAAATACAAAAAATAAAATATTTTAGAGGTTTATTGTCTAGTTTTAAGTCTCACGAATAGAATCCCGTTTGAATTTTTACTTAATTTTTTACAGGACGTCTGCAAAGTGTCGCACCGATTAAAACGTGGCTTTTTGGAAGACGCCCTCTACAGCGGTCGTGGTGAACTAAAAGTGCTAGAAAAAATTTCTTTATGTTCTTAATAATATATATAATAGCGTCCAAAAGGAATTATGTTTCTAAATATAATAGTTTTTTTATAAAGAAATATTAAAAAAGTGTCTTTTTTTTCAATTTTGAATGAGAAAGTCCCCTTAAAGTCTTTCTCTCCCTGGCCCTCCTTCGGAAGTTCCCACCGTCCGCCGATAACGGGAGACGGGGCAGTTCGATGCTCGTTTTTGTATCGTCGAGTGGAAAAAGAAATTTTTTTTTTTTGTTTGGTGGTGTTAAGGAACACACGTTGATGTTAAAACACTTTCGCGGTCCAATGTGTTCTGGATATTCTGGGCTTGCATAAATATCATATAATTTAAGTGGACTTTAATGCGTGGATTTGATAATGTATCCATGGAATTTAAGAAGTACGAGGTGTGGACAGAAAGTTTGTAGGTTCAGTGGTTCTTCTACAGTGGAACCACTGGGGGATTCCCCTCCGGAAGAATTTAAATACGAGTGATTCTGAAGAAGAATTATTCTTCGAGTTCTAGAAAATGGTACATTGAAAATAATCTATGTATATATCGTGTGCATCTCATTAATACTATGAATTTGGAGAGTTTCGTCATTTTTGTAATAT